TCGTGATATCAGCACGAATATGTGCTACTATCACGAATATGTGTTACTAGTACCAATAGGTGATATTAGTACCAATGTGTGCTACTAGCATAAAAATTTACCACGGTTGAAAGTGCAGTTCTGGATGCGAAACTTATAAGCGAAGTACAACCTATAGCGCTTGTGAGTTTGCATACCTAGGAAGGCTCCGGTACCAACAGCCGCGCCCCCGAGAAAGCCCAATAGCGAAGCTTTGCTCATATTAACGATTATAGATGCCTCTGTATTACGACAGGTGTGTTTGTGACAGGTCTCCCACTCCACCGAACGACTTCAAATAGACAGAACTAATATAGGCAGTGTATAGATTATGCGTGTAACATTTACTAAATACAGCCCCATAAACGTACTGTACAGACAAGTTGGGGGGGGGGGGATTTTTTCATAAAAAAAATATCGAATGTGATCGGAGGCTTTTCTCAAAAATCAAAATGATCACTTTTGGCTTCAATGCACATTCTCGAAATTGCCGTGACCCACTGCCAACAGTGCCAAGTGCCAACCTCTGGCCAGTGCCATCCGCTGGCCTCTGGATTCTGGAGGACATCAGGAATCTGGAATTCACAGGAAAGGTCTGTCTCTGAAAAAATATCCACACACACACACACTCTCTCTCTCTCTCTTTCTCTCTCTCTCTCTCATTCTCTAAAAGTGGGACCAGGGATGAATTTTATTTTCTACTCCCCTCTAAAGTGCAGCCGCCTTTCTTTTTATTTACCCCTTTACTTCCAAGGTATTTTGTATGTACTTCAATCAAATTCGGACCTGAACGTATGAGGTTGGACGTTGGATGCGTGTCTACATAACCTACATACATAAACAAAATATATTTTAAACCAGAAATTTTTTTGGTATTGGGGATATTCGCAGTCACATGTTACGTGTAGAGCGTGTTCAAACTGTCGCCAAAGGAGGGTTGGTAGAAATTAGAAGTAGGTGATGCCATGTAGCCAATTTTTTTTTTGCATTGGGGACGGTGGAATTTAAAATAGACTACCTGTTGAATAAATAATATGCAGACGCATGTTTGTCGCGGATGTCCAGGGTTTGAGGTATTTCACACTGCACTTGCGACCGTCGCAACACACAAAGCCTGTACACACACTGGTCGATATTTAGGAGTTGGTGCATAATATATGGATTCAGTCTTCTACGCACAGTTCGCACTCACACCGTCTTACGTCCTCAATAGTCTTCCTGCTAGATGGCTGCGATCGTGGAATGTGTTCTTTACCAATTTCTCACTATAGAGTTGGGAGTACCACCCTCCCTGGAGATACACTTTAAACATATGCCATGCACTTCACCTCAATGTATTAAAACTCGATCTCGAAACCCTTTAGTTCACACCAATCAGCCCCTATTTGCACCGCTTTGGATGTTACGGTGGTGTGCTTTTACAATGTATGTAGAATACTTATGTGCGGTTACTGAGAGATGGCGTGAAGTGCCTAAACTGCGCTCGTAACTAATGTGTAACTTATTGCACATATATCTACCACAGCTATCATTTGTGCACCAGCTTTGCCGAAATATATATCAAAATTGCTTTTCACCGTCCATCTGTATGCTTCGTTCATCCGAGCGAGTTTTGCGGCAGGTACCCTTTATTTGGCTCAACCAGTTGATTTGCTGATGGACCTAATGTCAGCTACAAAGCACGAGAGTTTGCACTCGAAAGTAATGTTTAATGGCTTCGTTAATATCTCCTATCATTTCTGTTTTATGGCAAACATACAAAAATTTATATATGAACACATCTCACAATTTCAATCTTGAAAAATACTGATCATAATTTTTTAAATACTGCGTGTCTGCTTCAACAAATTTATAATTTTGCCAGGGGGCAGCAAACTCATGTTACTTTAAAATAACAAATTACATTGGCAATCCAGTAACCGTCGACTTAAATTAACTCCATGAGATATTTATTCTACAATACAAGGTGACGCGACATGTAGCATGACACGTGTGAAGAATTGCTAAGAGCATTACGCTACAACCAACATAGCGGTGCCTGCTGTTATTCTCTGCCGCGGGAACGAGTCACTCTCCCCTTGAATGGGAGGGACTAACTTAAAGCGACATTAGTTCACAATCGTACAGTCCTCAAATATACTTGTATTTATACATTTCAAATTGCCCAGATTGTCGTGGTCTACATCGCTGACATTTCAAAGTTGTTTCACACGTGCACTGTGCGGGGCCTGTGAACCATTGGATCATCTTGGTTCGCTCATCTGTGGCATTCTCGCAATTCCCAATATTAGATAATTAAATACCAACAAAAAGTACTAATTTGCATTCAAATCTCCGAGTTCCGTCAGAAGTCATGTATTTAGTTAAACACCTTTGCCAATAGGAATTTGTCGTAAACTACTGTAAACAAAACGATGATGTATTTAGTAATAATAAAAAGTTTGTACCTTCGAATATCATATTGGCTTTCGCGGAGTTTCGCCTGCTCCGACTTCTTAAGCTCTCCATTGATTACCTGATCCCTCTCTACCGTGTCATAGGTCACTCTTGCCTATCGCTATCATCTCATCAGCTGATCAGTGATGTGTATTTATTGTCCGGAGGTCTGCGGAGGAAACTGTATATAGTGAGTGCTTAAGTTAATGCCAAGTAATGAGTACCTGATTTAATGTATAGTAGCGGATGCAGGGGTTGTCGATCCGCCAACATAAGTGGCACTACTGCAGCCGGTACCCCCTCAAACCCACACAAGAACAAACACTGCACACATGTGACACATCTGTTGTCGTATTTGAACGTTGATGTGTTAGTACCAATAGATAAGCAGTGGTGTTAGTCTGTATGGCGTGTGGTGTTCAAGTCTAGCTGTGCACGCAATGTCAAGTATCGCTGACCCTCAACTGTGGTGGCGGTGGCACCGATGGGTGTGTCGATGGGCCGAGACGATCATCATCGTTGGCGTGTGCGCACTCGTAGTCTTTGTACCGCAGCTGCAGCACACAACATCCCTTGTATTCGCAAACGTCGCAGAAACTGTGCACACGGTGTTATCGCCAATACTTGATAGTGGATCACATATTATGGGCTCCGATGGACTGCTGGGTGCGAGTGGCCCTATACATCCACAGCCAGACAACATGCATCAAGAGAAGCAAACCATCGCAACACCACGGCGTATGTGCAATATCCGAAACCCTGTACTCAATGCACAGTGCCACTTGAAATTTGATTCGAAGTGCCAAGTTGCGTGCGATGAGCAAACGCAAACGTCTGTCACAGACGAGAACGCTGCTGACGCAAAGAAGTCTAACACGACACAAGTAGAAACACGACGAGTAGATGTGTACCAACTGAGACTACAACACATACCCGTCACTCTCAGTCAAACACAGACTACACCAGAGGCAGAGGCAGCCACTCTGCACAACAACTTAGAGGTAGTGGAATCCATCGAACGAGAGCTTCACAGGTGCGCAGGCGTGAGTGATGTGTGCAGTTATCAGTAGAACTTATATCATGGCCCAGAACGCAGCGATATATATACACATAGGTGATTGGACGTCGGTTGTCACAGCTGATGTTCAAGCTGTCATCTCGTCTGTTCTGTACTATGAATCTATCTAAAGTGCACTGATATGAATGTCATGTCGACGGGGACACACAGTTGTATTACTACGACACACATATCCGTTACTTTATGATTGTCTCTCATGCAGCGAAGCGTGGGCCTCCACGAGGCTCATGTGATCTATATGTATCATACCATCAGCCCACATATGCAAACGTGAGATCAGCTTACAAATTGCGACAACACACTACTCACTCATACTATTTGCAAACTAAATAGGAAGAAGTGTTGTTGCCAATGCAAACAGTTGTCCTACACGGAAAGGCACCTACTAGTCATATACACCAGAGAATACGCACACATTAAACGAGACCTTCAGTTATGTTCATGTCAGGCAGTTTCACGTATCTCGTGTAGATACTCTTGAAATTTAAACAAAAATTACTGTGTCCATGACCTCATTGTGCACACGTGTTTGTGTTGCAAGGTCCTATACAACTACTGTCTATGACCTCATTGTGCACACGGGTTTTTTTTGTTTAGTTCTATGCATTCGCTGTGTCCATGACCTCATTGTCCATACGTGCTTGTTTTGCTTCATTACATACAGTCACCGTGTCCTAAAAACCCCAAAACCCCAAAACCCACCCTGAAGTGCAATCAGGCATTGTTCGGGTTGTATTCATATGCCTATTTTGGCCTACCCCTTACGTTGGTATAGCGGAGTCAAATGAACATGTACGGCAAACACGTTTACGTGTAGTTACTAATGTGCAATGGATGCGAATTCGGCACGCGTGAATGTGTCTTCCAGGCACATTTGCCTAATGATGTACCTTTGTGCATCACACATACCTGCCTTTACAATACCTTCATAGTACCTTAATAATATCTTGTTAATATCCCGAGTGTTAACATATGCCTAACCCCTGCAACCGCAGACAGTTGAAGGGTCAGTGTGTGCCCAGTGGCTCTGCTTGTGCGGGTGTGTCGCCGTTGCTGCTCTGGGGCGGAGATCTGTCGGCAATGCGACAAGACCCTCAGATCATCTACACAATGGCCGCGAATAAGGTGTGTATATATGTCTTAATCTGTCTATTAAGATGTGTACACATGTGATCATTTTTTTATTAAGGTGTGTACACATATGTTAATCTGTCTATTAAGGTGTTGCACCTGTTATCGTCTGTCTATTAGAATGTACGCCCAGTAATGGCTACAGTTGCGCTCGACTGTTGTGATGGTCTTCCTTCGTGCACGCTTGCGTTGAGTATTGGTGATAGCTTGTACGATTATTCATTTCGCATGCAATGTTGGGCTCTCACGTGATCGTCCGTTCTTTCGTGCGCAGGTGGTGCTGCCTGGAATAGATGACTTTACTTTGGACCGTGACCACGTGTTCGCCAGCCACGACGGCACTAGTGTGTATACGATCACTGTCTTTCTGAACGAGACACTGTCATCGGCCCAATGGAACGGTGGGTAGTTGTATCCGTCCAAGGGGTTTCGGGTTTAGGGTTTTATAAATTTAGTATCTAAGGTTTCAGGTTTTAGAGTAGTTTTTAAGGTTTAGGGGTTTAGAAACTTAGTATCTAGGGGTTTCAGGTTTTAGAGTAGGTTTTAAGATTTGTGGTTTAGATTCCGATTTAATTCAGGGTCTTGCAGATACGCTGTGGTCTATATGAAGCGCTGAATGTTTGTATTTGTGATTTGCGAATGCACAACCGCCCCACGTTCCCGTCTGTGGTGCTCAGCAGGCACTTGCAAGGGTTAATGCGATGGCACAAATCAAACATCAGACCTATGTGCGAACGACCGAGTCCGTTTTTACAGATGGCGGTTGTGAAGTGTAGGTCTGCTGTGTCGTACATATGACTGAAATTGAACGTAGGAATGCTGAGTTCTATAGAGTCTGTGTCCTAATCCGGCCATTAAACGTCACAGACAGCGTGCCTGTGCTTCTCTTTGGTGTTGACGCCAATCTCATTTGGTAAACCTTTTTGTGTTTCTGAAGAGGCATGTGAGGTACCTAAACTCTAAACGCCATATAATGGGAGTTTGTCTAATGAGCTTGTCTTATCGACCGTCACATTCACATCGACTTATTACGCCATCTGTGCTTGGTATTCTACGTGTTTAGGATTTTAGGGGTTTACCCACGCCATCTGTGCTTTCTACAATTCGTTTTTATTTACTTATCTGCATCCTCTTCCACAGACGCCCTGTCCGTAGCCGTGGCCTCCACGCAGCTGGTGCGTGTCAATGACGTGCACCAGGCCAAGGGGTCGGGTACTCTGTCGCGGCTGCTGTCGGCTGTGCTGGTTGTGGTGTGCACGGGCGCGTTCTTCCATTCGCTGCGTCGCATGGGTGTGTCTGCGTTGCTGGGGATTGTGGGTGTTGGCGTCCAGCTGCTGGCGCTGTCGGTTACCGTTGCGCTGCACAAAGCGTATCGCCTGTCACTGCCCACCTCAATGGACGAAGTCATGCCTCTGCTATATGTGGTATGGCGCGTGGTCGTTAATAGTATGATGTGCCTGTGGGTGTTTTTGACAAGGTTTGTACGTCTTTTAATAGCCTGTTCATTGTTCTGTGTAGTCACTGGGGTGACTTCTTTCGTTGTAGTGTTGCCTCTGTGTAGCAGTGTGGAAGTCTCTCTGCCTTTCGCATGCGGTGATTATTTCTGCGTCTCATAGTGTGGTCCTTAGCTCATATGCGATGCATCGTTTTGCTGCCCAATTACAATGGTACCTTTGCACTCGTTTGCACTTCACACCCTACACTGTGTAGCTCTGTGCCTCTGACCTTTCCCTTGGGCCTGTGCTGTGTTGCTACATATCATAGGGTTTGATCCTGCACTGTGTAGCTCTGTGCCTCTTACCTTTCCCTTGGGGTTTTTTTACAGATCATAGGGTTTGATCCGCTGGTGGCCGTGGCTCGTTTCTTCTCTTCGTCGTGTGGTGCTCTTATGCCATCCACGCTGTCTGCTCATCTGTCGCCAGTGTCGTCTGCCCCTGCTCTGTCTGCGCAGAGGGTGGTGGGCCATGGCAATGGCTACGCTGAGTGTGGTGTGTGTGGTGATGAGGCGTGTGCCATGTGGGCGTGTGAGCATTTGGAGGCTCTGCGGTGGGCTGTGCGCGTGGACGTGCTAGTTAAGTCGGGTGTGTTGATTGAGCTCTACGCGCTGTTTAAAACCCACCGCTACTTAAGCACTGCACTGCCGGTGATCACTTTCATGGCGTGTGCCTATGTGGTCCATAAGGTGCTGTGCGGCACATTATACCTGGCGTGTTTCTGCGTGCGTACGCCTCAATCAGTTGCCATGGTTACCCCGGTTGTGCGTGAGTATCAATCGCGTGAAAAGATTAGCATTGCACAAGTACACAGTAGTGTGGATGGACGGGACGTGGCGGAAACGTGTGCGCGGGCGGTGACACTCACATGTGCAGTGCTGAGCTTATCATTCATACAACTGCAGGACGGGGCAGAGGCTAAGTTTAGAACCGTTCCCGTGCTCGCCATTTCCGACATGTCGCAAAAGCTGCTGTCGCATTTCCGTCGCCATGGCAACGAGCCGTGGGTGGTAGGTAGACACAGGGATGTGTTTGCGCAGCTGTACTCCACTGGCGATGAGCGGACGGCCGACTCTGTGATGTCTGGCAGCTGTGCAGTGGCGACGCGAGAGTACTGGGGCGTTGATGATGATACCATGCGCACAACACTGCAGGTGGCTGTGGTGGTGGCCTGTGCCTTTCTTTTGTACAATGTGTTCAAGACACGCAAAGCGACAGCCCACGCACATGCACACACACTCACTCAAACTCGCACAAATGCGCCGGCGCACTCCAACAGCAAAAGGGACAGGTCTGATATCACCGGTGCGTTGCAAAAAGACTCTGTGGATGGCGAAGATTTACGTGCAGAGGGTGGCAGTGCGTGTGAAGTGGCACAACAACACAACACCACAGCCACTAGACAGGACGCAGGGGATATCAAACGGCAGGGCACAAACCACCACAACAACCGACAGAACACTACCGTCTACAACGACTATGGATGTGTCATCGGCACACACATCATTTCAGACAAGGCACCTCACTCAGCCGACACCTCACGAGGCATACACGCACAGGCACAGGCACACATACAACAACAACAACAACAACTACAGCCAAAGACCTCTGTAGGGCTACTATCACCAACAAATGTGCGCAAAGTACGCCGCGCCACATACAACGCGACGCACCTCGATACGATTCACAGTCATAGCAACGCACATACACACACCACACCGCACAGAACACACCACCACGCCACGCATACGGGCCAAGGCACAGACATGGCCATTCGAGAGCGCTTCTTTACCTTAAGCTCCAGTTCATCATCATTAGTCGAAGACATCACCCAACCGAATCAGGCAAACAGCACACAACATGACAGCCCACACGCATCCACACGCAAGGACAGTGCATCCCCAGACCGCCAAACCATCGTCCCCGCATCACCCACTGTTGTAGTGACCACACCACGTGGCACAAGTGACAAAGCACAGGCAGCAGATGCGACGCTAGAGGGCTGTGATGCGACAGACACGCATGCGCATGTGCAGGTGAAGGGGCAGAATGCTCAGGACACGTTGGCGAAGGACGTGCCAGTGACGACGGATGACCGCACAGCGAGTCATGAAAACAGTGAGCAGACGAGCGCACAGGACGCGCACGAACGATGGATAGACGCGATCCACAACGGCAGAGCAGAGGCAGTGAGTGACGAGGATGTGATCCGCTTAGTGAAGGCCAAGAGGATACCACCGCACAGACTAGAGAAGGTAGGGCGAAGTCACATCACCTGCAACCCCGATGGCATGCTAGGACATAGTGTGTATGTGTGATTATGGTAGTTTATGGTCGTTTGCGAGCATATGTATGTATGTATTCATGTCTGTGTTCGCTTGTGTGGTTCTGCTTGAGCTTGCTTGTAAATATTTAGGTTGCGATGATACGCAGAGTGCGTTTGAACTGATATATAAGTAAACACTTTCATGTGTATGTCTGTGTTCGCTTGTGTAGGTTCTGCTTGAGCTTGCTTGTAAATCTTTAGGTTGCGATGATACGCAGAGTGCGTTTGAACTGATATATAAGTAAATACTTTCATATGTAAAAAGTAGGTATATACTTGCATTTGTAGACATATACGTATATATTTGCATGTTTTGTTTTATACGTTTATATACTTGCATGTGTAGATATATAGGTATATACTTGCATGTGTAGATACATACGTATATTCTTGCATATATATATATATATATATATATATATAATATATTTACTTGCATATGTAGATATATAGGTATATACTTGCATGTGTAGATATATACGTTTATTCTTGCATGTGTAGATATGTACGTATATTCTTGCATATGTAGATATATATATATACTTGCATATGTAGATATATAGGTATATACTTACATGTGTAGATATGTACGTATATTCTTGCATATGTAGATAAATATATATACTTGCATGTGTAGATATATACGTATATACTTGCATGTATAGATATGTACGTTTATTCTTGCATATATAGATATATATATATATTTGCATATGTAGATATATAGGTATATATTTGCATGTGTAGATATGTACGTAAATTCTTGCATGTGTAGATATTTACGTATATTCTTGCATATGTAGATATATATATTTACTTGCATATGTAGATATATAGGCATATACTTGTATGTGTAGATATGTAGGTATATTCTTGCATATATAGATATATATATATACGTGCATAAGTAGATATATAGGTATATACTTGCATGTGGAGATATGCACGTATATTCTTGCATTTGTAGATATATATATATATATATATACTTGCATATGTAGATAAATAGGTATATACTTGCATGTGTAGATATGTACGTATATTATTGCATATATAAATATAAATATATATATATACTTTCCTATGTAGATATATAGGTATATACTTGCATGTGTAGATATGTACGTATATTCTTGCATGTGTAGATATTTACGCATATTCTTGCATATGTAGATATATATGTTTACTTGCATGTGTAGATATATAGGTATATACTTGCATGTGTAGATATGTAGATATATTCTTGCATATATAGATATATATATATACGTGCATATGTAGATATATAGGTATATACTTGCATGTGTAGATATGCACGTATATTCTTGCATATGTAGATATATATATATATACTTGCATATGTAGATATATAGGTATATATTTGCATGTGTAGACATGTACGTATATTATTGCATATATATATATATATATATATATACTTGCCTATGTAGATATATAGGTATATACTTGCATGTATAGATATGTACGTTTATTCTTGCATATATAGATATATATATATATACTTGCATATGTAGATATACAGGTATATACTTACATGTGTAGATAAGTATGTATATTCTTGCATATGTAGATAAATATATATACTTGCATGTGTAGATATATACGTATATACTTGCATGTGTAGATATATACGTATATTCTTGCATGCGTAGATATTTACGTATATTCTTACATATGTAGATATATATATATATATACTTGTAAGTGTAGATATATAGGTATATATTTGCATGTGTGGATATATACGTATATTCTTTATGTAGATATATACGTAATCGGGGTGCGTGTGTTTACGATGATATGATGTTACGTGTCTTATCTTTGGTTCTTCAGCAACCAGATATTAGCACTCAATCGAATGGCTACACTCGAGCACACTTGCATTTACTTTGTCTCAGTGTTGGCTGCTTTTGCTGTGTAGGTGCTGAATGACTACACTCGAGGGGTGCGCATAAGACGTCTGTTACTGACGCAGGATGCCATTCAGTACCACAACGACGCACACAGCCACAGCGACAAACCACTCACGGCCAATGCGCAGATGAAAGCATCGGCCACCAACGCACAGTTATTGGACAGCCTTCCGTATGAGGGCATGGACTATACCAAGGTGCTGGGTATGTCCTGATAATTTAGGTGCTAGTTATGTCCTGATAATTTAGGTGCTTGGTATGTCCTGATAATTTAGATGCTAGGTATGTCCCGATAATTTAGGTGCTAGTTGTGTCCTGATAATTTAGGTGCTAGGTATGTCCTGATAATTTAGGTGCTGGGTATGTTCTGATAATTTAGATGCTAGGTATGTCCCGATAATTTAGGTGCTAGTTGTGTCCTGATAATTTAGGTGCTAGGTATGTCCTGATAATTTAGGTGCTGGGTATGTCCTGGACAATTTAATCACCCTCAAGACATTGTGTGTAGTTCTATTGTCTCGTTCAGTGGGGAGAACATTTGCACCTATTATCGTGTCCGTTTGCTAGCAGCAATCGTAGCGCACATGTTTCGATATCTTAGTATCACTTGCAAACTGTGCCACTGTCATATACAGTAATACATGAGAACATGAGTTTGAATATAAATGAATGTTAGAGTTTAGCGATAACCCCTTAAAAACCCCTATAACCATGAGACCAATGGCACAGCCATCCATTGCAGAGTGACATTGTATTGGGTATCTGTCCCACTGTCAATACACTCATGATCATTGCGTTAATCCACTGTCAATACACTCATGATCATTGCGTTAATCCACTGTCAATACACTCATGATCATTGCGTTAATCCACTGTCTATACACTCATTATCATTTGCGTTAATCCACTGTCAATACACTCATGATCATTTATGTTAATCCACTGTTAATACACTCATGATCATTTGTGTTATTACACTGTTAATACACTCATGATCATTTTTGTTAATTCACTGTTAATACACTCATGACCATTTGTGTTATTCCACTGTTAATACACTCATGATCATTTGTGTTATTCCACTGTCTATACACTCACTATCATTTGCGTTAATCCACTGTCAATACACTCATGATCATTTGTGCTAATCCACTGTTAATACACTCATGATCATTTGTGTTAATCCACTGTTTATACACCTATCATCATTTGTGTTAATCCACTGTCAATACACTCGTGATGATTTGCGTTAATCCACCATCAATACACTCATGATCATTTGTGTGATTCCACTGTCTATACACTCATTATCATTTGTGTTAATCCACTGTCAATACACTCATGATCATTTGTGTTAATCCACTGTCAATAAACTCGTGATCATTTGCGTTAATCCGCTGTCAATGTTATGTGCTGTGGTGGCTTTATCGTACACTCACCCGCAGTCATCTCACAGGCGTGTGCTGTGAGAATGTGGTGGGCTATGTCCCTGTGCCAGTGGGTGCTGTTGGTCCCCTTCTGCTGAATGGTCGTCGTGTGATGGTTCCCATGGCAACGACTGAGGGCTGTTTGCTCGCAAGTACTCACAGGTGAGTTGCCACTTATTTGGTAGAGTGAACAAATACGGAAGTGAGCTGTATATGTTAAATCTGAATTGCTAAAGCACATATTCTTCTCCACGTGGGAAGTACACTTTCTACGACAGATGCATATACATATTTACAGATATGTAGACAGAATGTAGACGTAAGTACACGTTCTACGACAGATGCATATACGTATGTACAGAAATGTAGACATATGTAGACGTTAGTATATATTCTACGACAGATACATGTACGCATTTACAGATATGTAGACATAATGTACATTCTACGACAGATGTATATACGTATTGTGACCAACTTCGCCTGAGGCAAACAGCTCAGTTGGGTAGAGATTTTATATATTTTTTTAGCACGTGTCTGTGACCCATGTGTGTACCATGTACGTGCCCCTTGTCTTGCTAGCCATTAATTTTGCGTAGTTAATTTCAGGTTCTTGATTGTGCGTGATTAATTTTGCGTGATTTTGAGTGGTATATATCATCCCTTGCTCAGACCAAACCCCGCGCGTTCGCATGTTTCCGCCTGAAAATAACCGCGCGATTATCTCCGCGCGATTATCTCCGCGTGATTATTTCCGCGTGATTATTACCGCGTGATTAATGCCGCGAGGTTGCGCAGGGGAACGAAGGCCCTGTCTCTGAGTGGTACATAACACCCATTGCCTAAAAACCCTAAAAACCCACCCGTTCGCTTAATTCCGCGTGGTTTTGCAGGGGAATGAAGGCGCTGTCGCTGAGTGGTGGTGTGACATGCGCTGTGCTGCGTGAGCGCATGACACGTGCGCCTGTTGTGCAGTTTGACACTCTGCGGCGGTGTGTGGATCTGTGTCAGTGGTTGGCCGTCGACATCAACTTCAATCTCATCAAGGCATCGTTTGAGAGCACCAGGTACTTCTTATCAGTATCATATCTACAGATGTAAGTGTCAAATCTATAGATGTTTGTGTCATATGCATCTATATCATACCTACTTTTTCCACAGACCTACATAACCTGGCGTTTGTTGCTCCATAGTGCGGTGTATGTTGCTTTATAGTCTGGTGTCTGTTGATGAGCGTGCTCACATCTCATGCTCTTTTGACTATCTCTCTCTCTCTTTGTGCAGTCGTTTTGCGCGGTTGTTGGATGTGGATGTGACGGTGGCTGGGCGGCAGGCGTATCTGCGGTTTGGTATAGAGACAGGCGATGCCATGGGCATGAACATGGTGAGCAAAGGCACTGAGAGAGCCCTCGCTACACTGAGTGAACAATTTACCGACATGCACGTGGTCAGTCTCAGCGGCAATCTGTGTAGTGACAAGAAAGCCACAGCCGTCAATTGGGTCAAAGGACGCGGTCGCAGTGTGGTGTGTGAGGCTGTGCTGGACAGCAGTGTGGTGCAGACGGTCCTAAAGACAACGGTCGAGGCGCTGGTGCACCTAAACGTGTCCAAGAATCTAGTGGGTGCGTTATCTTTTTATGTTCTGAGTGGCATTGATCTCCAGCAGTGATTGATGGAGTGCGGTGGTATGCACACGTGTGCATACAATACCCTAAAACCCTAAACCCCGTCATAGTAAATGTAGTATCCGTGCTGCTTCTTTTGGCTCTGATTGTGAGGTGATGGGTTTTAAAATGCGTACTATGGGCCTACGTATTGACTGCTTTATCACCCTAAACCTAACCCTCAACACTAAACCCTATATCCCAAACCCTAAACGGCTCTACGTCTTTCATACGCTTGTCCAGATACTCATAATATACATATATATAAATATATATATA